AAATTTGCTCTCCCAACTGAATAGACTTTACAGAAAATTTGATCCACATGGATAATATATCAGTGTAAAATATCTGTGCAGAAAAACTCCTGACTGCAAGTCTTATAAGAAGGAGGGGCGGGAATGCCAAATGTTGTATTATATCTGCATTCTTTCTGGAGCACCTTGAAGAATACTTTTAAAAGGTTGAGGTAACCAGAGTTAGGGAGGGAAGGGGATGGAGTTTTGAGTATCAAAGAAGAGTCATGGGCTGCTGATGTACTAGGAACTAACAGAGAAACATCTGTGAAATGCCTCAAACCACATAGGGCTTTTTCCTGTAAAAAGATGACACAGTTGGTAGCTCAACTGAAATGTCTCTACACCAATGCATGTAGCATCAGTGCAACAAGCAGGAGGAACTGGAAGCAACTGTGCAGCTGGAAACCTATGATCTAATCACCATCACTGAAATTTGGCTGGACAAATCACTTGACTGAAGCGCTGCAAACGATGGCTATAAACTGTACAGAAGGGACACGCAAGGAAGGAGGGGCAGGTGATGTGCCCTCTATGGATTGATTGCACAAAGCTCTTTTTGCAAAAAGAGCAATAAACAGGTTGAGAGCTTGTGAGTGAAAATTAGAGGCCAAGCCAACACAGGAAAACTCATGGTTGATGTTTATTAGTGGCGACCCAGTCGATGGGAGACTGTTCACGAAGTGCTCTTACGTCAACTGCAGGAAGCATCATGCTTGCAGGCTCTGAAGGGGGACTTGAGTCACCCTGACACCTGCTGGAAAACCAGCACAGCAAGCTGTAAGCAGTCCAGGAGACTCTTGGAGAGCACCGAGGATAGTTTCTTTGTCCAGGTGACAGACAGCCCAACCAGTGGAGAAGCATTACCAGACCTGTTGCTTACCAACACAGATGAACAATGAATGTTGTCTACCTGGACTTTAGTAAAGCCTTTGACAGCATCTCCCACAGCATTCTCCTGGAGAAACTGGCTGCTCATGGCTTAGACAGGTTTACTCTTCGCTGAATAAAGAACTGGCTGGATGGCTGAGTCCAGAGAGTTGTGGTGAACAGCGTTAAATCCAGTTGGCGGGCAGTGACAAGCAGTGTTCCCCAGGGCTCGGTTC